ACAAATTGACAGAGACAGACAGTTAGACAGACAGAGAGACAAATTGACAGAGAAAGAGACAGAGACAGACAGATACAGAGAGACAGAGAGAGGTCAAAGAGAGACAGACAGTCGAGGCAGAGACAGAGATACAAAGAGACAGAGAGAAGGATGGATGGCTAGGAAGATGGATAGACGAATGGATAGATGGATGAGCAGAAGGATACATAGATGGATGAACAGAGAGAGATACATTGGGGGAGAGATGATGGATAGTTGAATGGATGGAAAAATAGATAGACGGTGAGATGGCAGAATATATGGATGGATGGATATATGAATGGATAGATGAACAGTTAGATAGATGGATAGATAGTGGGTAGATCGAAGTGTCTGAGACTCACCAAAACGCAAGTTCCAGTCTCACTATTGCCTCAAAAAGACTTTTATTAACATATCAATCCATTGTGATTCCTTTGCCATCTGAGTATGACGTAAAGGGTGTGAACCGTAGGCCAGAGTGTGTGGTCTGCAGGGAGGACTAGTCTGGGGTACTGGACGGTCATAGGCTGGTCAGGGTACACTTAATTCCAATGTTTGAAGACATATTAGTAATTACAAACATCCCCCTTTTTCTCATTTTCATGGAGTCAAGTGAGGGAGTCATATTTACAAGATTGGCTTTACAAGATTGTAATTACCATGTTATGTATTCTCACAATCCCAATGTACCTTCTTGTATATACATAAATAAATAAATAAATAAATAAATATGTAAAATATGGTGATTAATAAGGTACTTTTTATACCATAACAATATAATTTCTTAGATGCACACAAAGGTTTCAGTGCTTCTTAAACATGTATTTACTGAGAGAAGAAGGGGGGGGGGGGAGTTGAAAGGCACGTGGAGAAGGATAATAGGAAAGAACGAGGAAAGGGGTGACAGAGATAGCTAGAGACAGACTAACAAACCCGGATAACTCGTGGTAAAGTATATTTATATATATTTTTCATTAAATATTAGATTAAAATACAGAAGAGACAAAAACATTCTAAATCAAATAAATACTTTCACTGCATAACAAAAAAGCAAAATCCTCACTATCTAATTTTTATATTTGAAATTTGCGGCATGAATTAATGGACAGATATTTTAAATTGACCATTTATTTGAAAGCTGCATAAGAGACGAAAGTAACTGGACCAGTCACGAAAATAAATAATTAATCATTAGTAAATATACAAGTAGGGAAATATTAATACCCTTCTCACACCATCTCTCCGTTCAGTAAACTGACAGAATTATGCGTCAATAGATGGCGCTGTGACTGTGTCATGTGGCACCTTTGCTGACTGAGATATCTGGCACCTTTTCTGGAGGGAGATGGCAGACATCTGTTGTTTGCGGGCTCTTGGCCCAGCCTCACTTACCCACAGCTCCCTTTGTTACCTAGCAGTAAATAGGTATCTGGGAGTTAGTCAGCTGTCACGGGCTGCTTCCTGCGGGTGGAGGCCTGGTCGAGGACCGGTCAGCGGGGACACTAAGCCCGAAATCATCTCAAGATAACCTGTTGGGACTATACAAGTTAGCAAGGTCAACCCCGCAGGAAGAAAGCTGCAGTATTATCCTCACAGCTCGCTACCACCTGTCTGAACCATTTACCAGCGTGTGTGTGTGTGTGTGTGTGTGTGGTAGCAGAGTCCTTCCCACACAAACCTATCAGTCATGGTTTATCACCGCAGTTTCACCGTACTGCTATTCCAGTCTCCAGCCAGTGAAGGCAGACTCTCATGCAATATGGAACACCAGCAGCCCTGGCTTGCATACCATCTGCGCACAGTTTCCCTTAAAATACAAGGACAAGCACTTAGAGCTGAAATTCCCTTTTTTATTGTTTTGAAACAGGAAACTGCAGCCTCCGGGCGCGATAGCTCTCTGGATTGTATAAAAAACTGAATGTTTATGTAATGTGTGATCTAGGCGATCAATACTCATCTTGATCTCCAAGCAACAGCCTGGTGGACCAAACTCTCACAAGTCAAGCCTGGCCTCGGGCCGGGCTTGGGGAGTAGAACTCCCAGAACTCCATCAACCAGGTATCAACCAGGTTGATATTCGTCGTTGTGTTGTAAGTTATGAAGCCTTTTCGTACCCTCTGCGAGAATCAGTTTCTATAACACCAATCTCAAAGGCGTCTGAGGCATTGACCATCACACCACGTTGTAAAATGTTCCTCTTTAGGTATTTTTGTTGACCAGACCACACACTAGAAGGTGAAGGGACGACGACGTTTCGGTCCGTCCTGGACCATTCTCAAGTCGATTGTCTTGAGGTAGGTAGATGATGATCATTCACCTTATAATTGTTAAGGCTAGTTAACAAGAGATAGAGAGGGATGGTTGTAGGATGGTTAACGGTGGATGGTTGTAGGTGTGAATGGTTGTAGGTATGGATGGTTGTAAGTATAGATGGTTGTAGGCGTGGATGGTTGTAGGCAAGGATGGCTGTAAGCGTGGAAGATTAAAGGCGTGGATGGTTGAAGGCGTGGATGGTTGTAGGCGTGGATGGTTGAAGGCGTGGATGGTTGTAGGCGTGGATGGTTGAAGGCGTGGATGGTTGTAGGCGTGGATGGTTGAAGGCGTGGATGGTTGAAGGCGTGAATGGTTGAAGGCGTGGATGGTTGAAGGCGTGGATGGTTGTAGGCGTGGATGGTTGAAGGCGTGGATGGTTGAAGGCGTGGATGGTTGAAGGCGTGGATGGTTGTAGGCGTGAATGGTTGAAGGCGTGGATGGTTGAAGGCGTGGATGGTTGTAGGCGTGGATGGTTGAAGGCGTGGATGGTTGAAGGCGTGGATGGTTGAAGGCGTGGATGGTTGAAGGCGTGAATGGTTGAAGGCGTGAATGGTTGAAGGCGTGAA